TTTTTGAAAAGACACTAAGAACTAGCATTATAATTTATAAAATGAAATTTTCAATTATTTCAATTCTGAGAAAATATCGTTTTTATCTTAGCATATTATTTTTCTTTTGTTTTTAACATATCTATGTATGTGTATAATTATTTATGTGTGTGTTGTATGTATGTATGTATCATAATAACTCTCATATGAATACATGATTCATATGAGTGTTGGTATGTGTATGTGCTGATACATGTATGTGTATCTATGTGTGTATTATTTATGTGTTATGGATAACCCTGCTTAAGCTTACACTTCCCTCTATTTAAATCGACAGTTCTCCTTATACCTACCTATATGTAGAGAGTACCTATATGGAGAGACTTGTATAAAGATTATTTAATTGTCATAAAACAACAGACTGTTTGTCTTTCAAAGAGTAATAATAAATATTTTCAGGCCGAATACGAATAAAACTTTTGCACCAATGGAAAAAAATAAAAGAAAATGACAAGTTTGACAATTGTCTCTGACGCGTCACACATGACAGATCGATGACGGTTCTCTATGCACTTGTTGACAGTTGTTTTGTTTTTATGTTGACATTTTTGTGATTACTATGAGTATGCTATGAAGAATTGTGCAATTCCTATAGATAAATAAATGAGAAATAAAGGCGACAAGTTGCTTGCTATTGATTTATTTTATGTATAAACAATAGTATATTTAGTATGGCCATTCTCCAATAAAAATATCTACTAACTTAAAATAACTTTGTTTTTTTTCTGAAATGCAGGATTTAAAAATTGTTTTTTAACTAATTTCCAATTCCTAATTTTAGCTGCCATATATAAGTGTAATAGATCCATATTGGCTTTTACTCGAAATAAAAAACTAACTCCTTGAGAGTGCAAATGCAACGTTGCCTGCCAATTATACCCAAATATTTATTTTTTTATCACCTCTCCTGTGACAGTGCCGAAAATTAACATTGGGATGTTAAGTTATACATATTGACTGCACACACTTAATTCGATCCCCACATGGGACAACACTTTGTGTGATCCACAAATTGTTGTTCTCAGTCTGGGTGTTCTTAGTGACCGTTTCATGCATGTTTATAAAATCTCCCGCGACACAGGATATATTCCTCATGGCAGTTGTCCTTAAAAAGAAACCATACAAAATATTTTCTTTTGTTGCGAGAAAGGGTTCCACGCCCTGAACCTCCCCCTCAAAATGAGGAGGAATTGCTCACCACCAGTTTTCTGCGAGTCAGGCCGATGCATGGCTCTCCCAGAGTTTTGCTAGTTCAGCAAAACCTCCCGACATCTTTCCAATGTAGGTACAGTCAGTTCAGAGTTAATCAGTCTTAACTTTCTTATTTTTATTATTTTAGCACAAAATTTACCTGCAAAGGCTGTTCAATATGCGCCACCAGTTATAGCAGCCGAGGAACAGGAAACAGAATTAACATGTAAAAAGGTTAAGAATAAGGAATACTGGAAGTTAAAGCTGAAGCATATCCTCCACAACACGCAGTTCTGTGGAGTCTGTTTGAAGGCTGACGTCGACATGAACGCCCTCACCGATGAGTTTGAGATCACTGATGATGAAAGGACTTATAGGAGATCTCTAAGAGATATTGTAGATAAGATTTTTAGAGAGGTGAGTGAATTACAAATTCTATGTAAATTCTAACTTTCAACAAATATAAGTTAAAATGTTAAACTTGTTTTGTAAATACTCTTGATACCAGTTTTCTAGAGACGGGTGTTGGCTGGTGTTAAGTTGAAGACATACAGGAGGCCGCATCAATGCGCGTGTAATATTAACAAATCATGCATAATTTAAGTACTGATTGCAACAAGTGTTATGGACTCCATACTAATGTGGAATATTGAGGTATTTGTGGTATTAACAGATGATTGTTTAGAGATAGGGTGCACTACAAAATGCTGTGAAAATTTTATGTTACTTCAAAATAGGAATTGACACATAACATTTACCGTGGGAGACCCATGCTTCGGCATTAGAGGGGCCGACTCGACCGGAGTGATACCACGGCCTCACAGAAAACCGGTGTTAAGCAATTCTTTCGTTGCCTTTCACTGAGTGAGTGAGGTTACCGGAGCCCAAATCCCAAATTCTGACTCGAGGGGGGGGGGGGACTCCAAGGGCAGCAACGCACTTGTGATTTTTAATTTGCAGGTGTCCATGGGCGGCGGTAGACCGGTCTGCTTGATTGCCCCCTTATGCCATAAAAAAAAGTCTAGAGGTTTAAATATTTCATATTATATGTTGTTGTAGAAAGACCCTTTGTTTATTTTCAGGGTGAATATTGCCCGGCTAACTCGCAAATATGCAACAATTGTACCAAGAAACTAATTCAGTCCTATATATTCATACACAATGCTGAAGAGACGTCGAAAATGCTGGATCGTCACTTGGATGAACTGTATACTAAAATTTGCTATGTACGAAACAATTCTCTGAAAGATGCCAACAATGCACATTCAAGGATATACAACGTTGTTATTGCATTAGACAATAAAGACATTTCGGAGAACTTTAAAAACAGTCAAATTAAAATAGAAAAACCAGAGTCACACCAAAATGAAAAAGATCAGATTCGTGACAAAAGAAAACTGAGGTGTGTGAGTTGTAATATGATTCTACCCTCATACAGAGCTTGGCAGATACACGAGAGAACAGCTCACAAACAGAGTCACAGATGTAGAATATGTCTCCAGAGCTACAAAACACGACGCGCCTTGACTACACATTATAAGACGCATTTGAAATCGCGCTGTGCGTTGTGTCACAGAACTGTGCAGGATGGTGAACTGTTGCAACATTTGAAAACGCGCCACAAACACTCGATACACTTATGTACGACATGTAATGTCGCATTTTACTCCGCCAAGGCTCTAGGAAGACATATAAAGGAATGTCATCGTGGAGAGGATTCTAAATGTGTGACGTGTCTGCAGAGTTTGACGCAAGTAGAGTTGGAGCGGCACCAGTGCAGGTTCAAGTGTCCGGAGTGTGAGGAGGCGCCTTGTATCCATCACCGGCATCTGATGTGGTACAGAGAGCAGATGGCGAACCTCGCCCCCAGAGCCAAGTGTGCGGAGTGTCGCTACGTGTGTACAAGTAAGGACGCGCTCGTCGCGCACGTCAACAGACAACATTTGAGTCTACAGCCTCACCGCTGTGCCAGCTGCGGACACGAGTTCTATTGTGAGTCTCATTTAAATAAACATATTTGTACACCTGAGAAAGTCAACGAAGACCTCCACATTTGTCAATATTGTGATAAAGCATTTAGCAGTTTGTATATTTGTAAACGACATGAAAAAGGGTGTGAAGGCGTGCAAAGGAAGTATCAGTGCGATGATTGTCCAGCTACTTTTGATTCCTCAAAAGATCACATGAAACATAGAAAACTTAAGCAGGGTAAAGAGGTCTTCTCGTGCAGTTTGTGTGACAGAGTATTTTTAAACGACCTGAAGAGGACAAGACATGAGCGGCAAGCCCACGGCCAACAGCGAGGAATGGCACGCTTTGTTTGTGTTGTTTGTCAAACTGAGTTCTCGTCGAAGGCGGCCTTGGAACTACACATGAGATACCATGAACCTGAAGCAAAGTGTCAGCTTGATACTTTGGGACAGTTCAAGAGTCATAAACACAGACACAGACGTGCGTTGACGGTGTGCGAAGTTTGTGGCGTAGTGATAAGTAGGATTCTGTTCAAAAAACACATGATTGCCCATTCTATGGCGACAGTGTCGTGTAAAACGTGCGGCAAATCCTTCCAGAACTTGACTCTACTGAGATATCATCAGAGTGTGCACGTGAAGAGCGTGCCGTGTCCTAGATGTAAGAAATTGATAAGTTCTGCAAAATTATGGAGACACTTCAGGAATCACCTCATTCAAGACTCTCTAGATTTCAAAGTTACTGCAATACATGGTCTATGACATTGAATCCTGCTGTTTTTTTTAAATTTTAAATGATGTTATCCTCTATAGTACAGCCAATGTGCACAATCATAGATTATGCTGCAGACTATATATCATCAGTTTTCTTCCTTTTTCACACTTTTATTTTGAACCAGCGCAACATGTAACATTGTAAAAAGTTTTGGCTGATTCTTTATATTTGCGGCTGTCTGCCTGACGCTAAACTCTCCTTCGGGATGGTTTTAAGGAGTATGGAAGAAGGCAATTGGGGTAGAAATATCTCTATTACTTGGATAATTGGCACTCTGTCACTGTTTGCATCTTAAGATTTTTTTGCCTCGTAAAACCAGCTTGTAGACGGAATAGTTGCTTCTCCTTTGCCGGACTGGTACGACCTTCAAACCTTCACGAAAATTATATTTTTGATGATTTTTTTTCAATATTGGTCATTATGATTTAATTTTAAAAGATTGTGAACATTTTAGATACATTATTCCTTTTAAACATTTAGAGAATTTTTTTGAAATAAAGTTATATAAATCAAAAATCTAAGCAATAAAAAAAATAATTTAATAGTAATTTCTGAAATGGCTTAATCAATTTTGCAGTCAAAAACTTTTGTAAACCCTTTTGTAGAACTAAAATAAAAGTAATACTGAAGTAGTTATGACTTGAATGTATTTTATATCTATCTACTAATAGACATTCAATGCAGTTATAAATAAATAATGAATTAAAGCAATATCATCATCAACAGCATTTACTCGTAATAGTCCACTGCTGGACATAATCCTTTTTTAAAATGTATGAGAATGTTAGGAAGAAAATTAATTTAATAACTAGCAACACTAAATCCCTTGATTATTGATTTCAAAGTCGATGGTACAGTGCCAATTTGACATTTGTCAAATGATTGTCAATCAACTGTAATAGACACTGTTATCTGTGTGTGCAATCCACAGCTAGCTTGCCTTCCGAATACGAATTGAAGTTATATTAACAATATTATTAAATTTTTATAGCTTAACATTGTCACCGGTTTTAAGTGTTACAAACATGGCAGCTACTCAGTGCAACAAGACGCGTAAGTATTTTGATAAAAGAAGAGTATTATAAAGAAACATAACTTAAGTGAAGTAGTAAAAAACAAGAATGTGTTAATAAAGGAAGTTTTTGAGCACTAAGAAATTAAAATATATGAATTTAATGTCAAGTACAACCATGATGCCTATAATACAATTTGGCAAGTCAATGTTAGACGCAAATTGTCTGAACAAATATATAAGTTTATTTAAAGTACGAGGTATTAGCATACATAAACAGCATAAATATTTTTTGCACAGCGGTTGTCAAAGGGTTGAGCCGTATGAGGAGAAAAGGCAGACAAACTTGGCTGCGCATTTCCGTGCAACGTAATACCATATACTAATGTGATTGTCTAATTTTTTTGTCGATTATTTGTTTGTTTGGAGCGCTTATCTCTGTAACTGCTACCCAGGTTTAGACAATAATTTTTAGACTGCATAGATTATTAATTGTGGAAGGTAATTTACTGTGTTACAACACGATACGTCATGTCATGCCTTGGTACAAATTGGGCGGCTCGACCGAAGTGATACTACGACCCAGGGCCTATGGGGTGGTGTGCTTCGCGCACTCACGAAACAACCCAATCAGAAAAATATATTTATTTTAATTTCGCGCCTAACGCCTCGCATTATAAAACTTAGGTACATCAGCTACATTTAGCGCATGTCATGCGCTAAATGTATGTTTGGGGATTTCCCGTGTTTCATTTAGCCTGTCATTTTGACAGCTTGCCAGTGTCAACGTCAACTATCGACGACCTATGCTTTTGTGTTCGAGCATGAAAAATGAAACGCAACACATGCTGCTCTGTGTATGGGTACTGTATTCGGAGGGGGGCGGGATTAAAATGGCGTTTGTCCCACTATACATTGTTGTTTTTTTCTTAATAACCTGTTCGTACCGATTGCATTTATCTATTTATTCATTCAATCGTTCTTTCGAATGCTACTTTCAGGTACTGATAATGTAATACTTCATGTATTCCCCAAACCTGATACAGAATCTGAGAGTTTTGATTTCTGGTTAGAAGCTATTGATGGGGAATTTTCAGATTTAACCAGAAGTTTTATATTTAAAAATCGTAGAATTTGTCACCTCCACTTTGAAAAGCAATATTTTACCCGAAGCAAGAGATTGGCTTCGAATGCTATTCCGACATTAAATTTACCAGGTGAGTGGAGAATTTTCCTGGTTACAGTAGACAGTAGTATACAGTACTTATAATACGCAACTGTTGTGTGCGTTATAGGAGCGCGGCCAAAACATATATTTATGAAACACACGAGCGGGCTGTAATACGCAACTGTTGTGTGCGTTTCAGCAGCGCGGCCAAAACACCCTGAGGCCTGTGTTGCTCTATGAGAACAAATAAACATGGAACTAATTTGTCTTTTAGGAAAGTAAAAGAGCTGGCTACGGGCTAGTTCGAAACATCCGTTTCTGGTTTTTAAGCTATACTCAGGTACTATAGGTATTTTTTTCAGGTTCTTCGAGAAATTCCCACTTAGTATCTAGAAACTTACAAATTACTCGGCTATCAGAAAACAAAGATGTTGGTGATCCAGAGATTGAATTTCTTCTTGGAGATGACGTTGATACTGGTATGAAGACGGCAAATGCAAATACACGTAAGTTGCCTTAATTTTTTTTAAATTTATAAATGTTACATGGGATCTGACTGTCAAGTCAAATCGGTTTCCCTTAAACGTTAAAATAGCATTTCCTGTTGAAACAACTATGAAAGGGTAAGACGTCAAAATCTGCTATTGTAAAAAAGATAATTGACGAAATTGTGGTTACACTATACCACAAAGCCATTAAATAAAACTTGGCAGTTGATAAGTTGTATAAAATAAGAAACATAATTTTTACCGTTTTACTAAACCACTAACTCATAATAATTCCTTTATTAATAAACAAATGTAAATGTATAAAACTGTAAATGTAACTGTAAATGCATGTAATGCCTTGTGTATGTGACAAAAGACCTGATTCTGAGAAGCAATATGGCTTTAGGCCGAAATCCAACACAGTATCGGCTACAGTGGATTTGGTTACTAAATTAAAACGTAATATAGATAATAAACAAATAGGATTGGGTATTTTCGTCGACCTTAAAAAGGCTTTTGATACAATCAGTCACACCTTGTTGCTACAAAAGCTAACTAATATTGGTATTACTGGGTCCGCTATTAATATCTTTAAATCTTACCTTACAAATAGGTGTCATTTTGTTAAAATTGGTCAGGCGCAAAGCACTCCTAGGCATGTAACGTTTGGCATACCCCAAGGATCCATCCTGGGACCCTTGCTGTTTCTTGTTTACATAAACAGTATTCATGAAATTGGATTAAAAGGGGACATAACACTTTATGCTGACGATACAAGCTTGTTTTACTTTGGCAACTCAATCCAAGTAATAATTGCGGATGCACAAGCAGATTTGGATCGCTTGAACGATTGGTTTCTTCATAATCTCCTAACAATTAATACATCAAAAGCAAATTACATGATATTTTCAGCTAAAAACAAAAAAATATTGCATCATAGGCCACTTACTATAAATAATATAACCATTAATAAAGTAGATCAAGAGAAATATCTCGGTTTAATTTTGGACAGTCACCTAACGTGGAAACCACACCTTAATAAAACAAAATCGAAACTTATTTCCCTCATGGGAATGTTAAAAAATGTCACAAAATGTATCACGCGTCCAATACGCTATACCATCTATAACTCTTTAATTAAACCACACCTAGATTATCTAATAGAAATCTGGGGCACAGCTGCCCTAACTAACTTGGCCCAGCTACAGATCGCACAAAATAAATTAATGAAAAGGCTTTTTAACTATGATTTCCAGACACCTTCTTTAAAAATTTATAAAGACACCAAAATTATGAATTTATCACAAACTTATCACTACTATAATTGCATATTAGTAAGAAAAATACTCACGAAAACTATACACTCACAAATAAATTTTAGTAAAAAAACATTAACACAAAAAATTAAACTAAGGTCTGCCAATAACATAAACTTAATAAAACCCCGGACAAACTACGGGAGTAAAACTATTTTGTATCAGGGAGCAAAAATGTATAATATGCTACCAAAACTTATCAAAGAAGCAAAGAACATCAAAAGGTATAAATTTTTATTAAAAAATCATGTAATAAATAACATCAAATGAACTTATACTAGACTACGCTCCACAAATTAATTACACTCTATGCATACCACATCTAGCTACCCTTGATCTTTGCACTCTGCGATAACAGAACAAGTTCTACAATATTTTAGTTTGCCAAAGTATTCACACTTACCCTCGAAGTTAATTATTTATTTTTTACTTGCTTTGTATTAACTACTTAGATTTGCCGCTCCATATAAATATATTGTTAATTGTATAATTATGTTCTCATGTAAGTGAATGTTATTCTTAATGACAATAAAAGTTTCTGAAACCCGAAAAGACGTACGTACATTTGCAGTGGTGCAGTGGTGACGTATGCGACTGCTGAACCGAGGTCTTGGGTTCGATTCCCGGGTCGCACCAAATGTTTTTATGATCTGCAAATATTTGTTTTGGAGTTTGAGTGTTTTCTATGTATAATATGTATGTATTTACAAAAAAAAGTGTATAAGTATTCTATCAGTCAATCTAGCTTTCATAATACAAGCTCTGCGTAGTTAGAAACTAGATGGCGTTGTGTGTTAGATGTCCGAAAATATTATTATTATTATTTAGAGTTATATTTACTACAACTATCACCACACCTACACACACCGATTTTTTATTTCAGATATCAATACAAGCCAAAAAGAAAACTGTACTCTATTTGAAACAGATAAATCATCAAATAGAAATATATACAATAAAAAATATACACTGCCTTACCAGCAAGATAAAGAGTTAAGGAAAGAAAATAAAAGTATATTCTGGAAGATGAAACTGGTGTACATTTTACACAACACGCAGTTCTGTGATATCTGTTTGGATGGTGACGTCGAAATGAACGCACTCACCGATGTGTTTGAGATCACTGATGATGAAAGGACTTATAGGAGATCTCTACGAAATATTGTGGACAAGGTTTTTAAAAAGGTGAATTGACAAATAAAAAATAAATAGTCTTTGTGACTGATGTCTTTGTTTGGCATGGCTTTTTCGATTAATTGCGGAAAAAATATTTCTATATGTATAGTCAAGCCTATATCCCCGAAGGGGTAAGGGAGGCGACTTTAATTTTGGTCCCATTTCCGTAATAGGGGCAAGCCGTTTAGCCGTCAACTGGACATTCTAGGAATCTGATGGGATGATGGGAGATGGGTTGATAGGAGAATTGGGAGTATTGAAAAGATAGGTCTGAAAAGAGGGCACGAAAGAAGAAGTACGAAAGTGGTATTATAAGGATGGATTGATTGCCTGACTCGGTGGTGCAGTGGTAGCGTATGCGTCTGCTGTGTTGAGGTCTCGGGTTCGATTCCCGGGTCAGGCCAAATGTTTGTATGATCGGCAAATATTTGTTTCGGAGTTTGGGTGTTCTCTATGTATGTTCATATGTATGTGTTTACAAAAAAGTATATAAGTATTCTATCAGCCAATCTAGCTTTCATAGTACAAGCTTTATTTAGTTTGAAACTAGATGGCGTTTTGTGACAGATGTCCGAAAATATTATTATTATTAATTACAACAATAGCTCGAGAAGATTCTGAGTGTTGAGAGAAGTCTGAACCAAATATTTCTATCTCACTTAAAAACAGACTCCTTTTTAATACATTTTTATTATTGGTTGCAGACTGGAAGAATAGCCAGTTCAAAAATATGTATTGATTGTACAAAGAAACTAATTCAGTCGTATATATTTATACAGAATGCTGAAGAAAAATCAGAAATGCTGAATTATTACTTAACTGAATTAATTAGCAAAACGAGTTATATTCGCAACAATATTTTAAAGGATTCTTACATTGGCAAGTCTAAGATTCACAATGCCGTCATTGCGTTAGACAATAAAGACATTTCAGAGAATACGGACCATAGCAAAACGATAATAGAAGACCAGGCAGATAGAAGTAAACCAAATTTCAGGAGACATCAACGAATACTGAAGTGTGTGAGTTGTAATATGATTCTACCCTCATACAGAGCTTGGAAGATACACGAGAGAACAGCTCACAACCAGAGTCACAGATGTAGAATATGTCTCCAGAACTACAAAACACGACGCGCCTTGACTACACATTGTAGGATCCATCTTTAATCGCGTTGTGCGTTTTATCGTACTTCTTACATTAATAGACGTATTTCTGATTCTGGAAAAGTTCCCAAAAATGTATACGAATGCCAATATTGCAAGAAACAACTTTGTAGTCTGGTATTTTTGGATCAACACAAAAAAAGTTGTGGACTCTTTGAAGGAAAATATCAGCACAACAATTATTCAATAAATCCTAATTCGTCAAAGTGGGAGACCAAACCTACAAAATTTAAACACGGTGCGTATATGTTTCCATGTAGTTTATGTGAGACGGTATTTTTAAACGAACTAAAAAGAGAAAAACATATACTACAAGCCCATAGCAGACGAAAGAAGAAAATGACCAAAAGCTTAGAATGTCTCGTGTGTCAAGCAAAGTTTGTTTCAAAAGCAGCCTTCGTACTTCATCAGAAATATCACAGACCTTTCACAAAATATTCTTGTAAAGTCTGCAAAGCGCAGTTCGATAATTCACGAGAATTTAATGCCCATAATAGAAAACACACACTTTGTTTTAGCATATGTGAAGTTTGTGGGAAACGTATGGACCAGTTTATAATCAAGAAACATTTAAGTACCCATTCAAGCGAAAAAGTTTCAAATACCATCACGCAAGGGCATTAAAACTTTTACTATGTTACCTTGAAAATGGTTCTAGTTTTGTTTTTGTAATTTTAATTACAAACCATAACTAATTGACTTTTTAAAAAGATACGTTGACCTGAAGAAAAGAGCGTACTCCCACCTTAAAGGCCAACAACGTGCTTGTGACTCCTGAGTTGCAGGCGTTCATGGGCAACAGTAATCACTTTCTATTAGGTAACCTGTCTGCCCATCAGCTCCCTCTACCATATACCATATGCTTTTTACGAAAAAAATGATACATCACGATTTTTGAATGAAGAATGAATGAATCACACACAATCAAGAAGGGCAGTTCAAAAGAATAGCCAGTGTAGGAGAGGTTGGATGCGTCTACTGGAGCCGATATCTTCCGTCGCGATTAAAAAGAGCAAGGCCCGCTTTGCCGTCAGGAGGTGCTGATGACAGCATTGGGAGTTAGTGTTAGCTCTTTATAAGTGTATGGTAAGTACCCTGATGTGTCTGCTCTCACCCCGGCAGATTGCTTAAGAGCAGTTTCTCACCCTCTCCGAGAGTATGAGGGGGATTCTCCAACGCTAGCTCAACTGGTATGATCCTCATGGGGTATCATTAAGAGTATGGTTTGGACCTCTGGTAACCTGGCTTGGTGATATGCAACAGGATTGCTCAATACCGGTTTTCTGTAAGGCTGTGCTATCACTCCACTCGAGCTGGCCGTAAAACTTAGTCCAGTACCCTGCAACCCCCTAAAAATCCATCACTACATGGGTGGTTGTTTCCTCTGTGACGTAGGTAAATTATAGACAACTGTTCGGTTCCATAATCGGTTTAATAATGTTCTAAATAAATGTGTGCAGTTACATATAAGGTAAGGCGAGCCGCACACTACACCTCCCCTTTTTATAAAAAAAAATGATTTATCCTATAAATTATTTTTATACACCAAACAATGAGAAAAAAATACAAGCTTTACATAACATATTATGTTTAATACAATTTTACTAATTTTATGTAACAAATAACTTAGTATTATTTTTATGAATAACATAATATTTTCCATCTTTTAAAATTTTAACATTTGGTGGTATGTCCTCTAGTACTTTATATGGGCCTAAATATAATTTATCCAACTTATTTCCTACTTGATTTTTAACCAAAACTAAATCTCCATACTTATAGTTACATTTATTCATATTTTTATCGTAGTTTATTTTCCTTAATTCTTTACTTTTTAATAAATTGAACCTAGCTTCGGTTTGTGCTCTCTGAAGTCTATATTTTAGTTCTAATGGGTAAGAATCAGGATTGTATACTGGATCTACGTACATATTTTGTGCTAAATTGGTTGGTAAATTACAATTTTTACCAAAAACCAATTCGAATGGAGAATATTTTGTCTCAGTATGAACAGTGGTATTGAAAGAAAAACACCAAAATGGAAGCCAAGTACTCCAGTCTGTTCTGTTGTTTTCACATTGGATTCTCAGATAAGCTCCTAGAACCCTATGAGTATTCTCTAAGCCTCCCAGAGTTTCGTGGTGATAGGCGGTAGAATGGAGTTTATTTATGTGCAATAACTTACATACCTCAGTAAAAACTGATGACATAAACTCTGTTCCCTGATCTGTAATTATTTCCTTCGGAATACCATATCTTAAAATAAAATTATTTACAAATAACCTAGCTACTGAAACTGTATCCTTCCTTTCTAAGGGATAAGCTTCAACGTATTTAGTTAAATCGCACTGTAACGTTAGAATGTACTTAAAGTTATAATTATCTATATCTAATGGACCCATTATATCTAAACTAACTCTTTCAAATGCTGTGGATGCCGTGGATGTGATGACCATCGGCTCCTTAGTGTGCCTGTTGGAGTGCTTTTGAATTTGACAACTTTTACACTTTTTAACGTACTCTATGACGTCATTATTCATTCCTGGCCAATAATAATATTTCCTGATATTATTTAACATCCTATTTACCCCCGCGTGGCCACTCGTGGGCAATAGATGAAAGTCATTTAAAATCACAGTCTTCGTGTCTCTGTCATCAATTCTTATCACGTCGTTAATAACAAGTAACCTAGGAATGTCACCTATAGAAGTAATTTCCTTTAAAACCTTGTTTATAATACTATTATAGCGCTTATTTTTTATTATGACGAGCTCTTTTAACTGTATTCGCTTGCAAAAACGTTGTAATTCTCTCGCTAACACACTTACGGTCGATAACGATCGAGACATTACATAAATTGCTGATTTTTCAGCTACGAATATGCAACTGCCATTATCACTAGTTAAACAGTCAAATTTTTTAATCTGATTTAACGTATCTTTACTACAAAATAAAACTAATTCGACGCTGTCAATTGGTCGTTTGAGAATTTCCACTACCTTAGGCTGATCAGACCTTGGGGCAGAAGATATCTCAGAAGTCGTGTCATTACTGTCACAGTCAGTCTGTAACTTACGAGCTTGAGCTCTTGTCATGACCAATACTGCATGCTTATACATATCTTTTAAACTGGTGGATGTAATAGGCATGGGTATCCGGCCCAATGCATCTGCAGCTGCGTTGTGCCGTCCCGGGATGTAACTTATCTCAAAATCGTACTCTTCAAGATATAGTCTAAATTTAGTAAGTCGGCTTGAAGGATCGGTCATATTGAATAAATAAATTAAAGGTTTATGGTCTGTCGTAATATAAAACTTTTTGCCATATAAATAAGGTCTAAAATGTCGTACCGCCCATACGATAGCAAGTAGTTCTAACTCAATCACTGGGTATCGCGTTTCAGCAGGTTTTAAGTTACGACTGGCATACGCGACAACCTTTCCATTGCTATTAGACAGTACGGCACCTAAGCCTTGTTTTGATGCGTCAGTCTGTAGCGTAAAACTGTTACTCTCGGTAAAGTCGGGATAATCAAGTACAGTCGGACTCACGAGTATCTCTTTCAACCTAAAGAACGCTCGCTCACATTCATCACTCCACACAAACGCTACATCTTTCTTACACAACGCATTCAAAGGGTAAGCTATTGCAGCGAAATTCGGAATAAAACGCCTGTAATAGTTAGCAAATGCCACGAATCTTTTTACTTCGTCGACATTCTGCGGTTTAGGATAGTTTTGAAGACACTCTATTTTTGATGGATCGGGGAATATACCTTCAGAAGTAATCTTGTGTCCTAAATAAACTATTTCCTTACGCAAGAACTCGCACTTAGAAGGGTTTAATTTTAAATTAACCTTCCGCAAACATTCTAAAACTTTTATAAGGTTCTTGTTATGGGTCTCAAGACAATTTCCCACTACTGTACAATCGTCCTGGTACAGAAAACATGCCTTATAATTTAATCCTGACATTGCTACAGTCATGAGACGTGCGAAAGCGTTAGGTGACGTCTTTAAACCCATTGGGCATCGTTTCATCTGATACTGTTTATCAGTAGTAAATGCAGTGAATTTTCTCGAATTTTCCTCTAAAGAAAGTTGATAAAAACTTTGACTAAGATCTAATTTCGAAAAGTAGATATTATTCGACAGTGAATCTAATATCTCAGTAATGTTCGGTAATGGAAATTTATCGTCCTGTATATTATTATTAAGCTGACGATAGTCCACTACAAGTCTCCATTTCCTTTCTCCTGACTTTTTGGGAACCAGAAGGACGGGACTAGACCATTCCGAAACTGTCTCTTCTATGATATCGTTCTTTAACATATCGCTTATTTGCCTTTGTACCTCGCCTTTCAGTGCATTCGGCAACCGATAAGGCTTAACGTACACAGGAGACGTATTTTCCTTTAATTTAATAGAATGTTCTAATAAATTTGTAGTAGTGAGTGTGTCTCCCGGTAGGTGGAAAACATCAGCATACTTCGCACATATGCTTTCAATACTTCGTTGTTCCTCCTTATTTAGATATAAATTTAATTCTAAAGTACTAAGCAAAGTTTTGACTCTATCTGTAGTAACGGTATTATCGTCAAACCTACAAACGTTGAAATTCTCTAAACAACTAGTACTTATATCCGAAAAATGTATATTTACCGAACTATTAGTAGTATTTAAAATCCTAACAGGAATGAAACCATTGCGTGGTTTCGATACAATACCCGCTGTGTAAACACCTTTATAAATTTCTTTAGACAAAATGACGCAATCCCTATCTTGTGACGTCGGAAAGTGTTTTATTACTTCGCAGCGAGGCGGAATTGTAAACATATTGTTACTACTACTATTAACTGAAATATTAACTGATTGGTCTCGGTTTTCTAAACTTAAAGTACCATCTTTATAATTTAATATCCCGTTATATCTCATAAAAAAATCCTGACCGAGAATGCCTTCTGCGGTACAAGATAAGTTCTCAAAAATATAGAACTTTTGATTGAACTCTACGCCGTTAATAATAATATCTAAGTAAATATATCCCAGAGATTCTAAATATCCACTAATCCCTTTAATAGCTATCTTATCCTGCTGCATTAAACCTAACAAACTCTCGTGTCGCGACAACCATTCATACTTAAGCACACATAAACTTGCTCCGCTATCTATTAATAAATTGAAATTACTATTATTTCTAAGTTGACAATTAACTACACAAAAATTACTAAAACTAAAAATGGAATGAGTGCATTCCTTAGGGACGAAAAAATTCTAAGTTATTAGCAATGGTCGCATCATTTTGAACATTGGACTGTTGCACGCTATGCTGGACATATTGACTACGTGCCTTCCGCGCACCGCGATACTGCTGACGCTGCTGAATGTCTTTGCTATTACCTCGATGTATAAATAACGAGGGTCTTTGACCGCTACTCGTGCCATTGTACTGTGTGCGATTTATTTTATTGCTATTATAATTATTATAGAAGTGATTATTACCTCGGCCTCGAAAACCTCGTTTATAAGTGAAATCACGCCTATTATTTTGGGTAGCCCTAAACTGCATGACCTGATCTTGATGTTGGGTACACATGGACTGTTCGTCTACCGCGGCTCTAATGGCCTCAGGCAATGACGTAAATTCCCTTGATGCAATGATGGTACCGAGACGATGATCGGCTAAACCATCACTAAACCTCTTGATTGCAGTCTTCTCATTGAGAGGACGCAATATTTCGTAGGCATCACGATTATCGTTCGCCTGAGCTATCGTGAGCTTCACGAACAACTCCTCGAGCTCTGTACCGAATTTCTCAATACTTCTACGCCCTTGAGAAGCCCTAAACAATTGTGTTTGCAACGCGACCGTAGACTTTATAGGCAATAAATATTTTCGAATGTCCTGTACAAAAGTTTCAACATCCCTGTATGTAGACCTAAGCCGAAGTTTGGCACTTGGTGACAACCGAGTTTTTAAAACAAATTCTATTAATTTGCTTCTACTTTCCTCATTTAAAACTGAATTATAAAATAAAATACCATCTACGAGCTGCTTAGTCACCTGCTCCTGGCCATTCATTACCGGCAATAAGGAAATTGCAGTTTTAATATCAAATGAGTCAGCCATTTTAAAAATACCTAATAAATCCCTAGAACTAGTTTGACTGCTATTGTCTATCATACAAAATAAACCCTTTATATATTTAAAAGTTAATTGAATTTCATTAATTAATGTTTGAAAGCACTCACAAGATTCTTTGCTTAACTTGCGATCAGTAACTTCTTGGTTCAACTGAGTCAAAATATAATCCAACTTTTTATACTCCTTTTCAGCTTCCCCTAACTTCTTAAAACCTAATTCCTGTTTACGCCTATCCGGACCAAGTTTCACTAAATATTCCTTTAAATATTTTAACTTTGAATGCAATTCGTCTAATTGTTGGGACATACCTTTAATATAATATAAAAATACAGTAAAATAATACCATAACTATTGAAATAAAAATAATAACGTAAAGAAAATGATTGACATCGCAAAAATACGGGTGAATGCGCTTACCGCCACCGGATATGTAAGTAGGTCACGAATGACGTCGAACGTGGTGTAATTGATTATTACGAAATTCAACTATTGAACTGGAACTGACTCCCGGCTGCTCCTCATCGGACCCGTACTATTATCTCCCGGCAGCCTGCACATCCTCTCATCATAGGCTTGAGCATTCTCCAGACACCCGGCACCAACACACAACATCTTCAAAAATATCAAGAATCGAGAGAGAGATCGATCGATAATCGAATCAGATTTATTTTTGATCTTCTTTCATGGTATTCTTCTGTAAGAGTCTTCTGACTTTTGTCTTCTCTAAAATCTTCTATGAGTAATCTTCATCGTCTTTCTTCAAAATCAATTTCTCTTCAAAATTTTCATTCTTCTAACGTTCCTCAATTTACATTCTTCAATAATCTTCTAGTCTTCTAAATAACTATACGCCTTCTTTCTTCATAATTTTAAAATTTCAATAAAAATTTAAATGAATAAAAAACTGCTGGCTAAGGGTCGCCATGTGACGTAGGTAAATTATAGACAACTGTTCGGTTCCATAATCGGTTTAATAATGTTCTAAATAAATGTGTGCAGTTACATATAAGGTAAGGCGAGCCGCACACTACACCTCTGCTTGTATAAACAAATTGGGCTATGCAGATAGGGTATTGATAGCTGCAGCATGTACTGTAGAAAGTTGAGAGAGGTTTTCTGGCGAGGAAGGTAACCAACGCAGATATGCAAACTTGCTGGTCAATGTAACGGCTTTCCAGTGCCTTAGCTCCTGACAGTCCATCACTACATGGGTGAGTAATTCCTCCGCCACTAAGCAGGCATAGAGGGTTACCTGTAGCATATATAGCCGAGCCATATGAAAGTGAGAGGTTGTCTGCTCCGGTGATGAAGGTGTGTAGAAAAGGTGTTCATCGCTACTTAGAAGTTGGGACTAACCGCGGCTGTCATCGGGTCATTGTTTTCGCGTTACACAGTACACATAATGATTTTGGCGCATGGAACGTTAGAACGCTCATTGGTCAATAGATAGTTAAGAGAAATTGTCTGATTCGGTGAGCAAGGCAACTAAACGCAGATATGCAAACGTGCTGGTCAATATAACGGCTTTCCACGCGCCGCCGGGGAGGTGCTAGAAAAGATGCAAGTCTCTACTCAGAAGTTTTCGAGTTCGACGTACTAAAAACATAGTACACCTAGCAACTAACTTTTGGGGCATGGAAAGTGAGAATGCTCATTGATAGTCGAGCAAAATAAAATGTAATGTAATGTTGAAGACCGGTTGGCGTAGTGGTTTGTGTAACGGACTGCTATTCTAATGGTAGCGGGTTCGATTCCCGCTCAAGTCAAACATTTGTGTGCATGAACATTTAATGTTTGATTTGGTCTGGGTGTTTCTATGTATAATATGTATGTAATTACAAAAAAAAAGTATGTATGTATTTATATCAGTTGTATAGTACCCATAGTACAAGCTCTGCTTAGTTTGGGACTAGATGGCGTTGTGTGAATGTGGTACCATATTATTATATTAATGAATTAGTATTTATTGTTTTTCGTTATGCAACTGTAGGTATCTGCACTTGAATTCTAAGACGTCCAGTCCGATAGCGGTGACAGATATAACTATACCCGTGACCGTCTTAATGCTACTCTGTACACAACATTCTATGTTTTAACTTAATGATGAGTTATAATTTTCTTTAAAATATTATATTAATGTATTTAGTTGTTAGTTAAGAGAAATAAGTTACCTGTATTTTCCTTTAATTTAAATAAAAAAAATATGGCAACTCATGCAATTTTATTCAATTCCTGCAATTCATCCCGTGGGTGTCGTAAAAGCCGACTAAAGGAGTAAACTACGCAGGACAACAGTATTGCAAAGAGAAGGGAAACTCGAACCAAATCCTATACCAACCCGTCTGGCCAGCGTGGTATAGTAGGCCAAAACCTCTTTTCTAAGAGATGCCTAGGCCTGTCCAGCAGTGGACTACTAAAGGCGGTTGATGTAATAGGAAGCAAACGTGCAGCCGGATCACCTGATCGCCCAACTACATATGCAACTCGGAGACGTGTTTTTGAATGCCCCCCTCCCTCTTGGGATTTGAGTTCTAGTAACCTTACTCACTCGGTGAAAATCAACAAAAGAATTGCCGACATTATTTTCTGTCACAGAAAAATTATGGTTTTATAGGCATTTAAAGGTGAATTCTTATGGTGTGGCGGGGCAATACGCTGATGCATTTACGCTCTGGCTGTTAGATGCTTGAAACATAACATGGTTCATTTTAAAATTGTGTTAAGAGGTATACCTAACCTCCTACCTATCCCTTTATTACATAATAAAACAACGTGTCTATTATAATATAATTTATTATAATGTATGTATGAAAAGCTTAATATACTTTACTAAAATTCAAAATATACAAATAACAGTATTCAATATGTTTCTTTAAAACTACCATTTTAGTAGTTTATTAACTGACTTACAATCCTTTGATGTTTAAAAATAAGACTTCAAAATAACGCTTTAATAATAATTAAAATGGTTGACCTATATTGGGATTATGCCAAGACGGTCTAAAAAAGACGGCAAAGGCTAATTAAATGCAGTTTTAAAAGCATTAAGGTTTTGTAACAAAAGATTTAGACAAGCTCTGGCTTGTAACTTTATTCAGTAGTGTAGACGAGAATTTCCGTTACAAAATCATCTTGAACATAAAGCTATGACGCTAAGTCTATGACACAACGAAAAAATAGAATCTATGTTTTCATTGCAATAAATTATTATATTCAATCAAATTACACATTTCAATTAAATCATCGCTAAAGAACCCACTTAAAAAGACTCCAGTTGTTAAACAATAGTAATAATGTAAAATCATATTCAGAAGAAGAAAGCAGTAGTTATAAAAACCTACTATGTTAGTATTGCCAGCTGCGAATTTGTAGTAGAAATGTCTCTCTAAAAACTTGGCAACTCGGCCTTTAATTTCATGATGTGACAAAAGCATTATTATATTGGGTCGTTTCATTTTCGTACTTAATTAATTATAACATATAAAGAAATGTAACGCTTATACTCCGAACTCCGTAAAATATTAAACTATAGCGCAAACCAACATATAACTAACTAAACATATATTATAACGATCAAGTTATTTACTGTCGACTGCATTTAATGCACGACTTTGCACGTAAATAATAATATATTATCAGCATCAATAGTGGTATACATAAAACACGCGCGCATACGTATCTTTTAACAGAGACAACGATATTAGAAGGAAAAAATCAAAACTGCCATTAACACGACTATATTACACGAATGACAATGTTCAACTGTCAATATTGCGCGATAATTTATAGGCCACGCCCATTGAGGTACACCATCATTGGTGTATATTTGAGATTGAGTTACATGTCTTCATATATCATATTCTAGTATTATAAGCCACTTAGTGGCTTGTAACCCCGCTAAATAAATCCGTGTTCGTTATGTACATGATCTTTAAGTCCATATTTGGTTACAAATGTCGTCTTACATATTCTACAACAAAATCTACCGCCATGATACACTTTCATATGTTCCCTAGCTTTGTAACTAGAATAGAATGCTTGTCCGCATATCTGACATAAAAATGGTTTGGCCCCTATATGTTTTCTAACGTGAATAACTAATTGTTTCCTGCATTTAAGAGTTTTGTTACAAAACTCACAAGTTTCCTTAGAAAACATACTGTGCACTTTTTTATGATATTTTAAATTGCTTTCTGTGTAAAACTGTCTTTCACACATATCACAACTGTATGGTTTTATTTGTAAATGTACTTTATTCACATGAAGGGAGAGTTCATTGTCGTTTGGACACTCTTTCTCACAAAAACTGCATGTTTGTGCCCGTTTCTGGTTTATAAGTTTTAGTTTGACTGAATGCCTTTGAATGTGATTTTTATACTGTGTTTGTGTGGAAAAGGTCTTGTGACAAAGCTGACATTTTGTTGCTTTGTGTAGTTTTTCATGTTTATATAACTTATCTTCGCTCAAGAAGGAACGGCCACATTCTTTACAAGATAAATAATTCTGCTTTTTTAATATATGTGTCATTTTTCTGTGCTCATATAAATAGAATTTAGACTTATATTCTCTATGGCATATAGTGCATTTAACTTTTTTATTTATATGTTTCAATATATGTCTTTTAAGAAAATAATCTGAAATGAAATGTTTATTACACAACGGACAAGTAAATTTGCACCAAGACTTTTTAGTTACTCGGTTATTAAATGTTAAGAACTCACTGCAAATGTCCATAGAGTACTTATTTTGCAAGCCGTTCAACAACTTTTTATTTTTATATGCTTTTGTGGCATTTTTAGCTGGGTTATCAAGAAAATCGGGTTCATGAAGACTTGTTAGCGGTTCTATCTCATTCGCTTCAGGTTTAGATTTTTCTTCTGTAATTTCTAGATCAGTGTCACTCTCAGACTTCAGTCTGAATTCATCTTCTAGCACGTCGACCTTGAGTTTACTTTCATCGATATAGTCGTTTTCATCTAGAAGTAAGGTCTCGTCTGCGTCTTCTACAGCAGGCATTATAGTTTGGGGTGATATTTGCACGAATACATTGGAATGGGGTACTATTTTTTTAATATTTTCTAGCATTACACTCACGCAAGTGTCGAGCCGTTCCCTCGAGAAATTAAATTGATGAATAAACACATATGATGTGATTGCTTGGTCAAGGCATTTATCGCATATTTTTGTCCCAATGTAGTTCTTCATGAGGTTCATCTGCAATAGAAAAGAAAGGTTTTAAAACTATAAATTCAAAAGCAAGGGACTGGATGGCAATTGAAGGAATATTTGGATTTTATCTGAGGAATTAAAATAATTAATGCCTGATTTGAAGTATATTACTTTATTTTAACACTAAGACACCAATATAAATAAATAAATAATGTTCTTAAAACAAATATCACTGAATTCAATAAGCCTAAATTATTATAAATTGTAGTAAGCTGTGTTCTATATTCCATAATTTTCCACCTTGAGGGTAGGATTGAATATAACTGAATAGAAACACCCTTGCGTTTTAAAACTTGATTAAAAGTATACAAATGGTGAATGTATCGTGTACTATGAACGTAAAAAAAAAACAGTCAAATTGAGAACGTTTTCAAAATATCAACAAATCTTTAACATAACGTTATGAGCTTTTCCATAGGGATAAAATAAATTGTTATCCAGTTACAGTACAAAATTCAATTTATAAACGAATTTTGATCTTTTTTCAAGTTCAAGATTAATCTCGGATGGAGAAACTCAATATAAGGCATAAGATTTTAAAGTCTACTGTTTTAAATTTCAATCACGTAGTTAAAACCACTTGAGCAATCAAATGAGTCATTTTTAATTACCATTAGTTTGTAAAAGCACATCAAAATAGTTTTATAGAATTTGGAAAAGAAAACTAATTTCGTTTTATAAAATTTGGAAAATAAATATAAGCTCGTTTTAGAAATTTTGTAATAAACACTAAGCTCGTTTTTTATGGAATTCGGAAAAGAGCACTAAACTCATTTTAAAGGAGTTTAGAGAAGAACACTTAGCCCGTTTTCGGATAAGAACTATAAATAGCGAAAAGTTTGTGCCTTACATTTCTGCCTACGGCTTCAGTATATAACTACAAACATGTGCACACAATATAATACTTTTAGTATCAATAATAATGCAAGTTACAAATAGAGGTGGGATTATGATAATCTTATTCCTATGGCTTAATACATATATATACTGGTATAAGAAAACCATTAATAAAAATAAAATATTTTTTGGACACTATCAGTCAAACCGGGTTTCCACCGCAAAAGACGGGACGAACTCATATTTAATTAAATGGATTTACATTTCCTCAAACAAAGAGTTTTGTACTGCCGTGTGGTGACGGATTAAGAATACAATACAACCACCCCTATTCATCCCGTGGGTGTCGTAAGAGCCGACTAAGGGAGACTGTGCAAAACAACAGCACTGCTAAAAGAAGGAAAACTGATACAAACCCTACACCAGCGTGGTATAGTCGGCCAAAACCTCTATCGGAGGAGGGCCTATATCCAGCATTGGACTGTTAAAGGCTGTTGATAATGATGTTGTAACGGACTCGTTTTGACCATTTTTTTTACTCGAACCAACTGTGACTTTCTATCTGTTACTGTCTAGAAACGCTACTACAAAAAATGTATGGGAGTTCAAAGGACTCTGTAATTACTCTGCTCGACTTCCTAGAATCGAGAGTCTAGTGTAAGTTTATCATCATCCTCATCAAAGACGTCTACTGCTGGACATAGGCCTCTTCCAAGGTACGGTGACATCCAGACATCCAGTGTACACAGGTGGTCTGAAAAGTTTCCGACCTCAACACGAGATGGCAGCACTTGTGAATTTCGTTGTTCATCTGTTGACACTTACTCGCCAAAGTTTCAGCCATTTTGGGCGCGCAGATGTTATGTAACAGTCGTTTGAGTGAGTTGATGTGAGTGATTTTATGAAAATGGACAAAATCGAGTATCGAGCTGTCATTAAATATTTGTTTTTGAAAGGCAATACGTCTACGGAAATCAAAGATGAGTTGAATTCTGTGTATGGGGACTCTGCACCATCATTTACCACATGAAATTTTGGGCATCTGAATTTAAACGTGGCCGTAAGAGCTTGGGAGACGATGAACGTTTGGAACGTCCATATACTGCAACTACCGACGAAAACACCGCCAAAGTTCACCAAGTGGTGCTAGACGACCGCCGAATTAAAGTGAGAAAGATAGCAGATGTTATGAACATGTCAAAAGAACGTGTTTGTCACATATTAAATCAACATTTAGACATGAGAAAGCTGTCCGTGGGTTGGGTGCCGCGTTTGCTCACGTTAGACCAAAAACGTGTTCGAATGAACATTTCCAACGCTCTGTTGGCGCAGTATAGGCGCAATAACTCCGAGTTTTGGCGCCGATCAATAACTGTAGATAAAACTTGGATACACCATTATACGCCCGAAACAAAAATACAGTCCAAACAGTCGACTGCAAAGGGAGAACCGCAAAAAAGGCAGAAACTATTTTTTCGCTGGGAAAGTGATGGCGACTGCTTTTTGGGATAATCATGGAGTGATTTTAATCGACTATCTTCAAAAAGGAAAAACCATTACACGAGCATACTACGCATCATTACTTGACTGACAAGCTTTCCTTGCGGAAAAACGGCCACATTTGCAGAAAAAGAATATCCTGTTTCACCAAGACAACGCACCGTCTCACACCTCAGCGATTGCTATGGCGAATTACGGTTTGAACTGCTTGACCATCAGCCTGACTCACCAGATCTAGCCCCAAGCGAAAAATTGCGCTTGGAGGACAAAGATTTTCGTCAAATGAAGAGGCAATCATCTTCGTGAATCATTATTTTGCAGAGAAAAACGCCGAGTACTATTTGGACGGGTTACACAGATGGGAGCATCGCTGGGAAAAGTGTACGAGATACAAGGAGACTTTGTTGAAAAATAAAATACTGAAAAATTGGTTGCCTGTAAAGTCGGTATACGGGCGAAAGTTTTACGTGACAACGACTTTTTATGTCTGTCTCTCTCGCTCTTAGGCGGGCTAACCATGCCCGAGTGGAAGGGACGCGTGCCTCTCACTCGCTCTCATTGTGAGCGCATAACGTGAGCGGAGCGTAACGCAGTTTCTTGAAGTGTCACCCGGCAAACCAATTTATAAGACGTTGTCACGTCAAAAAGGTCTTGTATCTTTGTTAGGTCGGTAACGGAAACAGACCACCCTCGTGTATGCCTATTTTACTTCATTTTATCTCCCGCTTTGCTAAGGAGGGAAGTGTATTTACTGTATTTCCAACTCCTCCAATTTTCTTTTGATTAATTTGCGGGCTCTAAGACAGTTTAATTTCCTCCTGGGACTTCCCGAGTGTCATAACTCGGTGTGTTCATGGGTTACTGCTGTGGATCCTGGTGTACAGGAGGATGGTGATAGCGTTCGGCGTTGCCATTGGCCCTTATTGAACTCTGCTCCAATAGCAACGCCTAACTCGGTAACCGTCGAAAGCGATTTAATGTGAAAAAAACTAGCACTGGGTCCTCTGAGTTTATTTCAAAATTTTCTTTTCGCTCAGTCCTTTCCAACAGACTATTTATTGGTAGAAATACAGATATGCAGTTTAATCTTGAGAGTTAAACTGAGTCTTTAACGGGTCCGTTCTGCTCGCGGTGGAAACCTTCAAATTTGAATAAATCTTTTTGGAAGATACGGAATAGTTTTAAAATATTATGTTCTATGTAACATCGTAACACGACACTTAGAGGCAGAGTAGAGACCATTAATGTGTAAATATGGGGTTCGACTAGTTCTACACATACATTGAGATCTGTTTAATAATGCTTATGAATACGTGATTATATATTTTAAACCTAGAAATGATATTTTAGGGCGGCAATACAGTAATTGTCATATACCACTGCCTATCCCTTTGAAGATATACGCGTAAGTGTACTTATTAGTAATGACTTCATACATCTCACGAACGTCCGTCTGATCCCAAACTGCCTGTACTATGGTAACCAGATTGCTGCTGAACATCAAATGGCCACGCTCATCACACAATTATTTATCCTGGGTGGGAATCGAACCCACGGCTTCCGATTTAGCAGTCAGGGTCACCACCAATAGATCACTAGACGAACAGACCAACGGCCAAGTAGAACTTGCAATTAAGTAGATATAAAGGAGTTGTCCAGAAATGTTTTTTTTATTCTTGCCCACAACCAATACCAATACTAATACCTACATGATACCTAAAACTTGGAAGGGCTATTTAGTATGAGATTACATTATGCTTTTGTGGAGATAGACATTTTTCAACATAATTTTCATAATTACGTAAACTGTTTTTTTTTAGACAACTCCTGAACTAGGAAAATATCCAGTGTCGCGGGGGACTTTACAAACATACATAAAAACGGACACAAAGAACACCCAGACTTAGGACAACAATTTGTGGATCACACAAATTGTTGTCCCATGTGGGGGAACAAACACAACAATCAGCGTAGAAGGAAGCGTAGAGGTGACCGCTTTAATCACTACGAAATCCATTACGTCCGCCAATGCACCAAATTTACATGATGTGTAAATAAAAAAAAAAAAAATCCGTGCAGTCTATACTCAGTCAGCCAATAGATACAAATGGTCTACTTAAAATATAACTCACTGACTAATTGCAGTAAATACCCGTGACAAAGAATAAAAAAAGCCAAGCAATATTTGGGCTGCATCATTCATGTAACAGAATTAAAAATAATAAGTTTAAAACACAATGACGTGCACAACACAAACAGAAAACGTTTTGTATGTAAAACATCATTGAACTTAGATACAGTTCATGTAGATGTAGCTAAAAATGACCAATCATTTTACCTCTTACAGCATCAGAAATAACGATAAAATACTTTCAGATTTGTCCCTTAAAGTATATGAAACTCTTTCCAAAAATATTAAAGATACATTTGTCAGATTTCAGTAAGAAAGGTGTACTTGAAATTAGACAAAACGCTTATACAGTACTTCTCGCTCTAACGATACAATGACGTGTCATAGCCACATCAATATGAACTTTATCTAAGTTCTGACATCTAGTAATAAATATCAGAGTTCACTTATGCATAGCCTTTGACATATTTCTTATGGATTTCTTGAGTTTCTTCAAACATTTGTTTGTAGACCCAGAGCCCATGTTGAATTGTAGATTTGGTCCAATAATAGGAGTAATACCAGGGTTCATTATAGTTTGAATATTAAAATTCAGAAGCTGGTTATTTATATTGAACGGATCATTTGACATAATCGGGCTTTCTTCTACATCCATAGGTTCCGTGTCACTTGTAGTCGTGGTCTCGGTGAAGGTAACTACGTCAGTATCCATATTTGTCATACTGACAGTTGCCAGTATTTTTTCAAATTCAGAACTGTCCTTACAGTCCGTTACGGATGGCTCTTCAGTTACAATTGTTTTATTTAAATCATTACTGGGTGGTTGAATGTTGTCATCGCTTTCTTTGGGAAATGAATTATCTTCGTTGTCAGTCTCTTTTGTTGGAAAGTTTTTTATATTCCCAAATTGGATTTTAACATCACTGTGTTCTGTTAATTTCATATTTTCACAGCAAAGGCAAGTAAATCTCTCTGCAGTATTGTAAATTAAACAAATTTTGCACTGCCAAATTTTATTTTCATTGAATTGTTTTTTTGCCGTATTTTGCACTTTATCCGTACTGCAATATTTTATAGTTGTACAATTTTTGTTCACACCTTCAGTAGGCCTTTTACAATAACCACAAAACTCCATCTGACCGAATACCCAACAGAATTTGCATTTAATATGTTCATCACTCTGTGTTTTCTTATTCTGTGTCTGAAAATCATTAAAAGCATCACCAAGTATTGATTTTTGACCTAATTCTTTGGTCAATTTTTCATTTTCATTGGTAACTTTCTCAGCTCCATGTAGATATTTCTTTTGTGCTCTATCAAATACTTTATTACCCTCAAATAGAAGATTTGAATTAATTTTCTGTGGTACATTGGGTTTTTTGCTCGTCTTTTTTAATACTGAAGGATAAAACGAATCAGAACATTCCCCAAGACTTTCAGGTCGATAATTTGTAAATATATTCTGTGGTACATTACGTTTTTTGCTAGTCTTTTTCATTACAGCAGGCATTAATGATTTAGAACATTCTCCAAGACTTTCAGGTCGAGAATTCGGAAATTTATATCGAGATGTAATAGGTAATACATTTTTATAGTTGATATTTTCATTGGCAAATTCGTCAGAACAAAATGTCTGATTTTGTAAATTTAGATTATCTTCTGTTATTTCTGTAACTGCACCTTTCGTATTTACGTCTTGACCAACTACACCAAACATCGCACTAAGAAAGTTAGCCATTGCTAGTTCTGCAATTTCTTCAACATTTAAATCATAATTGGTAATTTTCCGAGCTCTTAGATTTTTCTCTTCATTTGATACAGATGTGTCAATGCTCAAATTGTCATCTTCTATGTCACACATGTCAACTACTTCAACAACGTCAGGGTCAGACATATCATCAGTCTTTACTGATCCATCCAGATATTCAGGATCACAGAAAACATAGTAATAAAAGTGGTTTGTTTTAAAACGTTTTCTAGATATGATTATTGGGTTGGAAAATTGAAAATCCTCCTTGGTGCTGATTATATTCATCACTGGTTCCATTTCATTTGTGTTTCGTTTACGATAGGTATTCTGTTTTTTTGATACAGTCATAATTGAAGCGTTGGATGTTAAACATAGATCTTGGTATTTGTATGATTTTGGCTAGAAAAGGAACCAAATCATACAAATTGATAATGATAGTGAAAAACATTCGATATAAGCAGGAAACAATCTCATAAAATAATTTTTAATAAAGGCAGTGCGATTCCAGAAATAATTTTGCCAATGTGTTTAAGGTTGGTGTGGTTTAAGGATTTTTTTGTGTGAGAAATGAGAATCCTTTTGTGGAAACAAGTAAGAGCTGGGGACCCAAAACATGGATACTTGACAGTGAGCTATGATGCTGATAGGAATAATTCTATAGAAGAGTGACCATTTCATTGGAATTATTAGAATATTGTTGTAATGATTCCAGTGAAGTGATCAACCCTTCCAAAGGATTTTTTCATTATAATCTAAAAATATTATCTTTCGCCAGAGCAAACCTAAACATATGTTCCTATACACATATATCTATATACATATTTTGTTATTGTTGATATATATATATTAATCTAATCAGAGGGATAGATGCTCTTTATAGTATACCGTAAACAACAAAATACGTACATAGCAAGACAAATTTAAACAATAATAGTAGCAGTAGGCAGCCTTAACGGAGTCTGTAATCTCTCACAGGCAACCTTTAGATCAGTGATTCCCAAACTATTTTGGGCAAGACACCACTCTTCCAAAATACTTAAAAAGTTTGCCATTGCTTAAGTGTAATACTTGATTCTTTCAAAACTTTTGAACTATTTCTTCTCTCAAAACTTGTTTTAAATCTATGGGTAGACCCAAGATGGACTAAACTGTTTAGCTATTATTTGACTAGTAATTTGACGAAAATGTGTCATGTAGATCTTTGTTCTAACATTAGTATCTAGATATGTTAACCATACTAATACTGAGATTAGCTCATTGAACCAATCAACAAGCTAATCTTAGGAACTAGTCGTTAGAATTGAAAAATTATTTTAGTGTTGGATTTTTTGAGGGAGGCCATGTAAGATCATGCTACCACCAATTGGAACCAAGCATTAATAACAAATTACCCTGTTATTGCAATAATGGGGTAAATTTATTCCTTTTTAAAAGAGACGGGTCAGCTGGTTGATACATTTTAGAAGAACGCTGACCACAACGCAAGCAGTAAGTTCTTATTTTTGTGAGCCATTTTTTTTTTACCTTATTATAGACAAAATCTTATCTGATTTCAGTTTTAAAACTTTAGTTTTTAACAAACAGGAATCAATTTTTGATAACCTTTAATAACCTAAAAATAAATATACATTACCTTACGCATATTAGTTATGGTACCCAGTTTGCGGATTAACATATTTGTATATTTCTAAATACATACATATTATAGGTATATTAACCCCTCAAAGAACAAATGACCATGCTAATCACACAATTATTTTTCTTTGTTGGGAATCGAACCCAAGACCTCAGGCTTAGCAGTCAGGATGACTAAGGACTAGACCAATAGGCCTTTTATAAATTTTACATTATATTTAAAAGTAGAAAATATAAGGTTATACTTACATCAGGTAAAGTAGTTGCCAATAACGTGTACAGTGTTTTATCGCCCATGAGATCTGGATGACATCCATGGATGCACACCATTTTATCCAAATCCGTCATCTTTGTTCCCTTGTTGTAACATACTACGCACAACTTGTCCATTCTCTTCTCAATGAGATGCTTCATTATATTTCTAAACTTATGTTTTTCTACGTGCTGTAAATGTTGGATAAAGTTGTCCGTAACATGACAACATTCCTTACACTTGAAATCTTTATCTGGATGTGTGGTCGGCTCCTTGCCCAGAATATGGACTCGATTATTATGTCTTTTCAGCTGATTAGATTTCGGAAACGATTTTCCACATAATCGGCAATGATACCACATAGTTTTTGGATGTATTTTCTCATGATTAATTAAAGACTCCAAATTTGGTAACACTTGCCAACACTTTTTACACTCCAAATCGCTTAACATTGGCTCATTATTGATGGCTTCTGCACTTGCATTTACTATATGTATTATCGGTTCTGCATAATCGATGACTTTGTAGTGTTCTGCACGTAATATATTGAAGTTAGGGTTCAATTTTTGTCTTCCTCGTTTCTTTGGTCGGTCTATGGGATCAAGTTTTTCAAATTTCTCGTACATATCATCGAAACAATTCAGCATTGCTCTCTCCGCTCTTTCGCACTGTTGCGTAAAGAGATATGCACCCAGAGCTTTATCTATACACTTCTGACATATTTTATTTGGAAAATTTGGGTCATCCACAACCTGAAATTACATAGGATAAAGTTTAACGTATTTTTCTTACACTTATATCACTTTATTCTTAATCACTACTTTGTTTATACATCTGTTGTAAGAGCTGACTAAGGGAGCAAACTTTGCAAGACAACAGCACTGCAAAGAGAAGAAAAACTTGAAGCATAGCTTGAACCAAGCCATCTAGCCAGTTATGTATAGAAGGCCAAAGCCTCCTTTATATGTGTCCTCCACTACAATGTGAAAGACATCAGAAACCTCTACACTATGAATTCTAATACCCGATTGAGAGGACACCCATTGAAGCTCACCATGTCTCCGTCTGTTAGCAACCCTAGAAGACACTTTCTACCAAATCGCGTGGTGACCATTTGGAATAGTTTACCGGAAAGTGTAATTAGTGCTGGATCAGTGAACATTTTTAAAAACAGACTAGACGAACATTTAAAAACAACAAAACGAACACAAGTGCAGTGATATGTACGCATCAGATCTGTGATCTGCTAGTGCATTATAGAATAATAATAATAATAATATGGAGAAGCCTTTGTCAAGCAGTGGACTAGCAAAGGCTGATAACATATTTTTTTAATAGACAACTCCTGCACTAGGAATATATCCTGTGTCATGGAGGACATTTCAAATTTCATGAAACTGACACAAAGAACACCCAGACTCAGAACAATAATTTGTGGATCACACAAAGTATCGTCCTATATGGGGATCAAACCCACCACACTCAGCGCAGCAGGAAGCGGTGTTACAACCATTGGCTGTTGCATTGTGACTGGTTGGACTTGTCTAAATAAACTAACAAGTCAAGAAATACAGAGTAAGTTAAGATATCTTTAAGAGTATGAAGTGTCACCATCCCTCTTCATCTTGTGGGTGTCGTAAGAGCAGACTAAAGGAGCAATCTAGGCAGAGCAACATCACTGCAAAGAGAAGGAAAACTCACACAAACCCTAAACCAACTTATCTGGCCAGCGTGGTATAGTAGGCCAAAACCTCCTTTCTAAGAAGAGGCCTACGTCCAGCAGTGGACTATTAAAGGCTGTTGATAATGATAAGATAGCTATAGAATATAAACAGTGTGCTCTAATTTCTATAGTGATGTACTAATAGTTTAAAAAAAGTGTTATTTCCCTGATACTAAATACACTATCTGATACTAAAGTAAATAAGCTTGAGTTTTATGATGGCAAGTCTCATATCTGCCTGCCTTATCCTTCCTCAAACAATATAAGCAGACTAGTTTTAACTGTGTCATTACTATAGTATTATAGTAACTATCTGTTGAGATCAATAGTCTCAGGTGGTACACATACGATGTACTGATAGGTACTAGTACTTGGTATTGTACTAAAAGTAATGTCTCTGAAAGGCAGCTGTTAATCGGACATTTTGCACTATTAGTACACAGTGTCAACTTCAAGCCCGTACTAAAACAATCTATTATGTACTCTGTCTACGTTCGTTTGTTGTGCGATGTACTATTAATGCTCCGCTTTATTTTTCCATGTTGGTAAACAGTGCGAGAGTAAAAGGGACAGACATACAGGTGTACTACAATATGTTGGGTTGTAAAAAAGTATCAAGGGAAATAAAATAGTATGCTTAAAAGTTTAATGTAAAGTAATGTAAAAAATCGTATTTAAAAGTCAAACTGTTAGGGTCTATGGGATTCAGAAAGGGATAACACTAACTGTACTAATAGTACTATTACGGTGTGCTAGTACGTTGTACGAATTGTACTAGTACGGTGCGAACCTGCAATGTCCGGTTAAGCACAAGACTAGAGATCAATACAACTTAATAAATCTATTAAACCTACCTTGAATGGGTGAAAACTGGCAACTATGTCCCTTATAGTGACTTTGTATATATTTCCAGTGCCTCCTATTTTCATGATTTGATCTAATTCAGATAGTCCAGGTGTTATATTTAGACAGTATCGACATACTTTCGATTTGAGCCTTCCCTCTAACAAAAACTTAACTGCCAATTTCGTCGTCAAAGGCTGAGGAATTTCAAATTCGTCCACTTTTGCCTTACTAACAGGCAATTGTTTAAGCTGAGGCTCTTTTCTCAGTTTTTTAGCATAGGTTTTCTTGGCGTTGATAACATCCAGAGCCATAAAAATATCGTCGTCCATGATGATAGGTTATTGAACTTCGATATGGGACTAACTGTTCACTTATTACATAATAAAATCATAGATATAGTATTTGCGCAGTTTACTCTATATTTTGTAGAAAACCGAAACATTTAATAAGAGTAATTACTTATACGTTGACACCGTCAAATCAAGCGAGTACAAAAATGGCGGACGAGAGCGTCGACAGCGAAGAAATAGAGCGCTTGAAAGTCAAATTTTGATTAGAACGGAATGTCACTCAGTACACATTGTTATTTCACACTGACATTAATTTTTAGTTTTGATTTAATTTTACTTATTATTATGGTAAATGTTACGAAGAAATAGAATGTTTTTAATATTTAAAAAATATTGACATGGTGCAAAAGGAAATTGTTAAAAAATACAATGTACAATTTTCTGCAAGAAACGGATTACAAATTTTTTAGAAAAGATATTTTTAAGTTTTCTAGCAATCACCATATTTTGAAGTATATAAAGGATTTCATTATAACTTATATAATAAATATTATTTTAGTTTACCTAATAAGTTAGTATGAGAAAGTATTTTTCTTTAAATAACTACAATAAAAAAAAACTACCAAAGAAAAATTTTAGTAGAATTTCGGTGTGATCAGTCTTAGCAATACCAATTTACATAAATGTCAAAAATGGACCTTTTCTTCTGATAAAGCTATTTTTCTTGAAATAATTTACAAAAATCTGACTTCGTTATATAGTGAAGTTAAAATCCTGTGTTAAATGTACTGTTTTAGTGCTAAGTGATTATATGTGTCAGTTATGACCCGTTTTCATTTATCGTAAGAGGCTTTAGCTCATCGATACTCTACTTACACAGTGAGTATAAAAATCTGAGATTGTCAAGGCTAGTTCTCTACTAACTTAATTATTAATTTCGTATTATCGATGATATCATAGGGTATTTTTTTAACATATTTGTTTTACAGATGTAAAAACATTCTAGAGGAGAAATAGTTCCATATAAGTTTTAAAGTTATTTATAGAGTGGAGTACGCAATTACAGCTGGGTTTGTTTGTGTAGTGTTTATAGTGTTTGATTTAAATTTAGAACACTTGAATTCGATTTATCTAAAAAGTTGAAGTGGCAGTTAAGTTAACTGTCTGCTTTTTATCATTGATAGAGGCTTTTTGTTTTAGTTATAAATTGAGCTTATTTTTTTATCTTTACTAATATGATATTAATATAATATTTAATGTTGGGATAGAAAAAAAAAACTTACCACAAAAAATGCCTAAGTATGTTTAAACTTAGGCATTTTCAAAAATTTAAAAACAAAGCTTTACTGTCTTGAAATTGTTATGATTTTGTTTTAAATAACTAACTATCAATAGTAGCATAAGATAATTCTATGACCTACCTTTTTTCATTTAACAAATACAAAATAAGTATCTGTGCTCTGCTAGAGGTCATGAGAAAACTGCTGCCATTGCCTATACCTGCATATCCAAATTTAAAAAGTTATAGTTCAAGGAGGTTGGTTAATACAAACCTCTTTTTGTCTTTGCACCACAAAGTCCAAATTAAAACTTTAAGTTGAACTTTTATAGTTTATTAACTACCTATTTTTCTTTTAAATCTGACTGAGTAAAAAAATAGCTAAATCTTTTATACACTGTGCTTTTTGATAAATTTAATGAGTAATAGATGTATTTTTGATGTTTTCAGTGATAAATATTTTTAATATTAAGTACTTGTGGTATCTGTCAATTATATCACTGCTTATCTATTACATTTACCATAAATATTATAATCAGGACCTTCAGTGACCCTTTTGCAATGTACATGGCTACCATGGTGAGTGGTTCTATGTAATTTCCTAAGTCCACAAGGTCTCATCACCTACAATGCTGAACCTAACATAAACTTGTATGGTGTAAGTGCCTTGCTTATATTATACTATATATATGTACCTATGTATATAAATTTAAAATGTACTCCATATTTAAATTGTACTACATACATATATCTAATGTTTCATCTCAGACTCTTAAAAGTAGGTTAAAAATTAACTCCTAATATTTTTTTTAATATAAGTCATGAAGCTACTGTGTTTAGATAGATAATTTAAAAAGTAATAAGTGTACCATAGACCCTTTTAAGAAGAGGCAAACTAATTTTTGAAAGATTTTTTTAATATTAGTACCCTGTATCATTTTCACAAAAGACAAATTCCACGAGACCTCCCAAGCTAAAATCCATAGAGCTGTTTAGACTACAGAGTGTGTCAAAAAAAATTAGATACAAATACTTGAAGAACATAACCCACTAACTTCAGACTTAGTTGGGAAAAAACTACAAAATGGTTATTGTTTTATATTTATTTCATCATCATCATCATTTATGCGTCATAACACACAGGCATTTGCCCCCGGCTCCGCCCGCGTGTATGTCGGTTATCATGGTAAAAGGTATGTCCTTACTCAAAAATGAATCTATCTCCATACCAAATTTCATCTAAATCAGATCAGCGGTTATTGATTTCCCATACAAACTTAAACCCCCCTTTTCACACCCATTAAGGATGCTAAAAACTATCCTATGTCCCGGGAATCGAACTATTTATATACCAAATTTCATCTAAGCGTAAAGAGGTAACAGACGGACACATCTTTACATTTATAATATTACTGACCTAGTCAGTGACCTGCTAACGAGTCTACCTCACTCTTCTCCGAACAATGGATTTCATACTGTAAAGTTAATTACTTAATTATCATAGTTTTTCCTTTTAAAGATTTTGGAGATCCCCTTATAACTGATAAAAACCACATTCACACAACGCAATCTAGTCCCAAATTAAGCAGAGCTTGTACTATAGGTACTAGACAACTGATATCAATACCCATATACTTTTTTTTTGTAAATACATTATATATCATACATAGAAACACCCCAACCAAATCAAACATTAAATGTTCATGCACACAAATGTTTGACTTGAGTGGGAAACGACCCCGCGACCTTTGGAATAGCAGTCCGTTACACAAACCACTACGCCATTCGGTCGTGAAATATAAAAAAATAAATTGAAATTATGAAAATACTATAAAATATATATGGGGTCTACCAATAAGAACGTTCTGGTTTAAAAATTGAATAAAACACACCATTTTTTATGAAAAATGCATCCGATTGATTTATTTGATAGATAATTTTATGCAATTTATGTTTTAAATAATATATTGGCCAAATGACCGCCGCGGCTCTTTTTGCAGACGGTCACCCGCTCACGCCAATTTTCGATGATGCGGTGCACCATTTCGGCCGGTATGTCGGCTATGGCTCGTCGAATGTTGGTTTTTAGGTCACGAATTGTAGCTGGATTATTGCTGTACACTTTAGATTTAACGCAACCCCAAAGAAAATGGTCTAAAGGTGTTAAATCACACGATCTTGGGGACCAACTGATCGGTCCATTTCTCGAAATTAACGACTCACCAAACTTTCCACGCAATAATTCCATGTTCACTCGAGTAATGTGAGGTGGTGTACCGTCTTGTTGAAAATAAAGGTCGTCTGCGTCAATATCATCAAATTCCGGAAAGAAATATTCGGTTAACATCGAGTTATAGCGCTCGCCATTCACAGTAACAGGATTTCCTTCGTCACTTTCAAAGAAGTTTTGGATAATTTCCAAGCGTTGGTTTAAAGTGAAACGTGACATGATAAAATGGCAAACCTTACTGAACACAAATGTCAAGAGACGTCAAAGATCCGTCATCAAACATGGCCGCTATGAGCTGTCAAAACCAGGTCATCCCTATTGGTAGACCCGTTATATCAATAATAAAATATCGTATATCTATAATATCAATATAGCTACTAAATAAACTAAAGTAAATTATGCTTTTTTACTGTTTTGTCTTACCTATTTCTAAATAGTTATCAATGATTAGATACTAATATTTAGAATCTATACTAATATTATAAAGCTGAAGAGTTTGTTTGTTTGTTTGTTTGTTTGAACGCGCTAATCTCAGGAACTACTGGTCCGATTTGAAAAATTCTTTCAGTGTTAGATAGCCCATTTATCGAGGAAGGCTATAGGCTATATATCATCACGCTAAGACCAATAGGAGTGGAGCACCAATGAAGAATGTTTCAAAAACGGAGAAAATTTATTACTATTGAGAGACGCAGACGAAGTTGCGCCGCGCCGGTCAGCTAGTGTTTTATAAAATAAAAATAAGTTTGTTTTGTTTAAAACTCTTCAGGAGTCACACAAGTAAAGGTCCATGATGGAAATTTAGTGTTACCTTTTTGACAATCATTATTATAATAACTCACAGCTTACATCTTTTCTTTGTTGACTGCATGGATGGCGTAGTGGTTTTAGCGGTCACCACGCCGCTTACTACTACGCTAAGTGCTGTGGGTCTGATCACCACATGGGACTACACTTTGTGTGATCCACAAATTGTTGTTCTGAGTCTGGCTGTTCTTGTGTCCGTTTCATGTATGTTTGTAAAGTCCCCCGTGGCACAGGATATCATCATCAACAGCCTTTAATAGTCCACTGCTGGACATAAGCCTCTCCTGAGAAAGGATATACTTATTCCTAATGCCTAAGTTGTCTTTTATAAAAGAAAAGAAAAAAAAAAGAAATTATTGCTAAAAGGTGACGTTCAATATCACTCTTGTGGTCCCACTACAATCTTGACTTCTCATACAACTTTCGGAAGTATGTGTGTTTACCTCCAAAACCTGCTGTGCCAAATTTCTCGCAGGTTTGTTGCACTGTTTTCAATTTCTGTTGACTTTAATACTTATCTTAAATCTATGTGTAAACAATTCATATTCCTTTTTGTATCTAATCATTAGATACCAGGGTCATTCAACTTGATTAATTAACGAGATACTGTAGTAATGAAAGCAAACTGCTAGGTGATAACTTCACAAGCAGATACTTTTTTTATGGTATAGGGGTAAAGAGCAGACGTGTGGTGACGGATTTAGAATACGGAGTGTCAACGTC